TCCTTCTCTTTTCCGTTCCTTCTCATTTTTCTTTTCCTTTTTTTTCCATTCCTTCTCATTTTTCTTTTCCTTTTCTTATTTTTCTTTTCCTATTTCTTTTTCTTTTTCCTTATGTTCAGACCATAAATCACCAGATTTTCAAACCTGAACCAAAATGAATGCTGCTCTTTCAGAGTTGAGATGTGGTCTGGTGAAGTAGGCACTGTTTTATACTCGATCAAAAAATTTTTTTGACTGTGCTTTTACTGTTGCTCTGTGGTTTGACTCAGTGAGAGGCAGTGAGTTGTACCAGGAGCAGCAGAGAAGCAGATTGTGATGCAAAGAATTTCAGTCTGCCTTCTGATCTCTCCTTGGTGAAATTTGGTCTGTGCCAGGCACACTGTGCCTCATTTAGTGTACTGGCCGTCCTTGACTTAGAGCAGTGCAGCCTGTGGAACTGAAACCCAGCTTTTCTTACCTATCTGTGTTGCCTTGATGGCCAGTTTTTAATAATGACACAGACACGGTTAAGGGGATATAAAGGGTTTTACCTCCGTATTTGGGATCTTGAGGTGCACAACTTGATGGCAGAATGCACACCCGTGTATAGCATGGATAGAAGTTTTATAGATTTCAGGAATTAGCATATCTATCTAGGATTCCCCAATAAGAAACCCAACAAATGCAGTAATGTCCCCCTATTCTAATGAATCCCCCCCGGATGAGGCCAGAGCCCAGTTCAYACAAGATGTTCTGGACAGAAGGCTTCACCCAAGGCTGRAGCCTCGGGTTTAAGATAGCRCAGGGCACACTGACCCCTTCCTCAGGATGTTTGGTCTCTCTACCCAGCAGAACTCCTAAACAAAGCTGGAACATCAGGCTTCAGGAATTACAAACATGTGGGCTCAGGGGTGCAGGGGGATGCATAGAGGATACAGAAAGTGTAAAAAGGAAAAGCAAAAATTATCAGGCATCGCCTGCCTGCAGAGCAATGAGGAAGCAGCAGATTCATAGAATTTCTTCTCCTGCTGCCTAGGGCAGAGTCTGACTTACTAAAATAGCCCTTGGCTTACTTACTCAGCTGTGGGGCTGGTGCAAGCAAGTTCTTTGAGGTCTGTTTGGATTTGTTATGTTTTTAACAATTACTTTTTCATATAAAGAGTCATTTTTGTAAGCAAATAACATAGGTAAATTCGCCAATGTCATTACAGATTTTTCAAACAAATTTTCCACTTTTAAAATACATAGTGAAGAATACTATTTGTAGATATTTTCAGTTTACAGTGTTCTAGAAGAGCAATCTTGAAAATCTCTGATTTTTGTATTCATACCTTCATCAAAAAACAGGAGTCTGAACATACTTCTGGTTAATATCACTGATGATATTAGCAGTTTTACTTTCTTAATGCTAGAATTTATTGTTTTCTGCACAAGAAAAAAATTGATATCCTGGTTTTATTTTTTGTCCTATAGGTCATGGAAATACACAGGGGGTAAGTGCTATCCACCAACATAAACCTATCCTTTTTGTGCAAAAACTTACCAATTTAGTAATACCTTTTCAACACATTGGACAATTAATTGCAGATTTAATCCARTGTATTGACAGTAAGCTTTAGAAGCAATTATTTGTTGTGAAGGATAGAAATAAAATCAGGGAACAAATTATCAAAGCTGGCAAGACACCAAAAATTGATTAAAAAAAAAAAACCAAAACTATACCTTCTATTACATTTCATTTCATTGCAATTTCCGAGAATTCCAATGGTCCCTATTCCATTCTAGTAATTGAATATTTCAGTTAATATTTCAGTTAATCATAGATTTTTATCAATATGTTTAAGTACCTGGCTATATAAGGAATAAAACTGTCTCTTGGACCCTAATCTGAGTCCCATTTAGATCCTTAACATTCCAGTTTAAATAGTGCTAGCCTTGATACCTTCATCATGGCAGTGAGATCATCAGCACAGAGAAAGATTTTGTAGGACTAGTTTTGCAATTAAAACATACRTTTTGGATTAAGCAATGTGCTAGTGTGATTCCAACAACCCAAGATTTCATGGTTGTGGTATTGTACAAACAAAGGAAGAAAATACCAACAGTTTAATAGGGGTTTGAATAATGTAATAACTTGTTTTGGGAAGAATAAAGTAATTTTTATTTGCCTTTTGCTATAATTTCTTTTAATATAATTTGTGTGAAGCTTACCTAGTGGACCCAATTTTATCCTGTCTTTCCAATTGGACTTAGGCCATTGAAAATGGATTATTTTTTATAGGGCCAAGAAAGTGATGGAGAGATGTATGAAGACATTAATGACATCAGGTAATCATTCTAAGCTCTATAACTATTCTATCCTTATCACCGTCTTCTCTAATCTATATCTTTCATCTGGCACATAAGTGTCATTCCACTGCAGTCCCTGCCAGGGATTACTGTGTTCATCTGTTTCACCTGGAGAAAGTCTGGCCGTTCACAGGTTCTTTACTAGTTAGGCCTGCCGTGCCCTGGCCTGCAATTAAATGATGGAATTACTGTGATCAAGGTAACAGAAAACTGATTTCTGACCTAAGGTTTAAGTCTGACCCACTGGTTGGAATTACAGCCTAGGAGGAAAAATAAGCTCAGCCCCAAGGTAGTGTGGTCCCAGGCAGATCTTTTGGTGTGGCTGTTTTTCTTGCTTATCAGATAAATGTTCTTAGAACTCTTATGAGAGGCTGGATTGAAAATATTCATTGCCTGAGTCCACTAGTATAGCTACAGAGACAGAACACAAGCTCTGCTCACTCTTCTTCCATTTAGACAATAATGGCTAAATCTTTACTTTGTTAACTCTTCTGCAATGTCTAAATGCATGGGATTTACTGTACTAAAATAGCCAAAGAAAAACTCTAATTCTCTGAATAAGTAATAGATGTAGTCTATTTCAGATGTAGAACAATTTTCAGCAAAAAGTCATTGTTGAATTCAATTGGCAAATTATTTTAATACAAAATTTATAACCCAAACAAGTGATCCTCATTCTAACTATTTTTTTAACAATTACAGTGTATCAATTTATCAAAAGTACAAAAAAAAAAAAAAAAAAAAAAAAAAAAAAAAAGAGAAAAAAAAGGAGCCTCACTCAATCAGTTCCTTAGGACTTCTAGAACACAGGTCTTCCAGACAAGCAGTTGGTGGCAAATGTCAGAGCTGTAGAGGTAGTCCTAATTCCATCCCAAGTGCCCAGACCTCAGTACTTTCACACATGAGGTACAGCATTCAGTGTACCCTGGTGCAAAGAAATGAGTGCAGAAGACTGACTCATTTGTGTAGACTGCTGGAATAGGTTGTAATCAGGTTTGAAAATGCAATCCAGTGGCAGCTTGGGCTTCAGCCTGCATCAGCCACTGATGGCCTGGGTAAATATTTAACAGCTGCATCCACTACAACACCTACTCTGCTGTCGGTTTCCAAGTGTGCTCAACAAAATTAGCGCAGAAGATTTGGACACGTGGAGCCAGATAACCCTTTCTGGTGCACTGTCCTCATGATGACAGCCATTCTAATTTATACATGTAATAAAGGGCTGCTTATTCTATGTCTTGTAGCTGCTCTAGGGTTTAAAATCTATAGCTTTGATTTCACTTGGAGAAGTCTTTCTTCATCACCTGCAGTTTTTTGTTGGCCTTAATGAGGTATCTCTGAGGGAGATTTGCTTCACATATTCTGTCCTGGCAATGCACTTTCAGATCGCCAAGGGGAAAAGAGAGGAAGCAGGACAAAGAAGATAAGAGAAGAATGGATCAAGAGAAGAAAGAACAAAAAGAAAAAGAAAAGAAAGAACAGGAATTAAGGAGAAAGTTCAAAGTAAGCTTTTTGTTTTGTAATGTGGACAAAGTTATGCAAGAAACATTATTTAGAATTGTCAAGTTCAAAATACACTTTTCACCTGGCTACAAAACTATTTTTTGTGGTAAGTAGTTAAAACACCTGCATGAACTCTGAGTAAGGGTTTAAACTACCTTTTTATATTTGGCATATTCTTGAATGCAGGCTCTACACTGATGGCAAAGAATTTTTCAGTGTTTACACAGTTTTCATTAAATTATCTTATCACCCTTTTTCTATATAAAAACAGCCTTAAAATCATCTGTTTTCCCTTTTCTATTCCTAATAATCTACATAATTAGAATAACATCAAAAGTCCTTAATAAAAGTAAGAATTAACTCTCATATACATTGTGCTATTTGCTTCACTGTAGTCAGATACGAAAGTATTTAGCCCTTGTGAGATTTCAAAATTGTATTGCAACAGATTGCCCTGGCTTTGGTAGAAAGGGACTTAAAGGGAGGAAGGGACCTAAATGAGGAGGAAGAAAATAAGGCATTTGTAGGAGAGCTACAGTCACTGTCTCAAGTAACTAATGAGACAGTTCTTTCTCTTTTAAATCATTTTCATATAGCCAGTGGTAAGCACACTCCCACAGTTTACGAATCTGCTAGTCAGATTCTCTTAACTAGTGTTTGTTCACAATTCTCCATTCTGTGACTTCAGTGTCACTGTACACAGTGGATAGCTTTGTTTTTCTTCCTGTGAGGCTCTGTACACAGTAAAGCCATAGTGATACATATCATGGCCTTGGTCTGTGGAGAGGCTGACAAGAGTTAAGAAGCAAATATTAAAGGTACATATAGTTAATAATAGTGGGTTAGCTGCTGTTTGTTAGGCCTCAAGTCTCTTTTTCAGACCACTCCCAAGAAGTGTAGGCATTAGTTCACAGAAAGTTTTTCATTGACAGATTTTTCCCCTGCAGCCATTAAAGTATGCTATTCTTAAACAAATAGATTCTAGTACATTTTCTTCCCATTTATGGCCACCTGTACAAGGTAGATATTCCTGAGCTGATCTATAATTCACAAGAACAATATGGCTCTGAAATGCACATCATAAAAAGTACTAAAAGCCACTATGACTTCTTCGTAACATAAAGATCTCACAAAATGAATCCTGAACTTCAGTAAACAGTGTGAGCACCTCTTGTGAGTACTTGCAAGATTATTTAAGTAGTACATTCTAAACACAGAGCACTGCATGGCAGACTCATTAATGTTAAAGAATATTTACTCATATGACTTGTATCAGCAATGGTGTGGCCAGCAGGACCCGAGCAGTGATTGTCCCCCCTGTACTCATCACCAGTGATGCGACATTTCAAGTCCCATGTCCAATTCTGGGCCCCTCACTGCGAAAAAGACTGAGGGGCTGGAGAGTGTCCAGAGAAGGGCAATGGAACTGATGAAGGGTCTGGAGCACAAGTCCTTTGAGCAGCACTTGAGGAAGCTGGGGATGTTTAACCTGGAGGAGAGGAGGCTTAGGGGAGACCTTATCACTCCCTGCAACTCCCTGACCAGGGGTTGTAGCCAGGTCTCTTCTTCTAGATAACAAGGGACAGGACAAGAGGAAATGGCATCAAGTTGTTACAGGGAATGTGCAGTTAGGAAAAATTTCTTCATGGGTAGAGTTGTAAAGCATTGGAAGAGGTGCCCAATGACGTGGTGGAGTCACTGTCCCTGAAGGTATTTAAAACGTGTAGATGTGGTGCTTAGGGACATGGTTTCATGTTAGGGTAATGGTTGAGCTCAGTGATCTTAGAGATATTTTTTAAGCTAAAAGAGTCTATGATTCTATGAGTTGTTCTCTTGGAAGAAAATGGAGACACCCTTTGGGATTAAACACATCTGTGCTGTGAATCCATGGTGAATATCATAGGTTAGTTTGCTGATTTTAATCTTTGTATTTCTGTGATTTTGTTAGTCAGTTCTTCAGTTGCTCTATTGCTATGCCATTTCCCTCTTCTTTAATTTCAGTTTTTTAATTTAAACCAGGCAGGAGGAAGCCTGTCTCTTTATTTGCCTACACTATTTGAAATGTCAGTGGAACTAATAATCACCATTACCATGATTTTTACTTTTTTTTCTGAATGTCTCAGAATGAACTCCGTTTTTCCATATCTGTGATATCCTCTGTTTGGTTTTCAGTTAACGGGACCCATTGAAGTCCTTCATCAGGCACGAGCTTGTGTAGACCACAAGGGAGGGAAGAATGAACTGACCGTCAAACAGGGGGATAAGATTGAAATCATTCGCCTCACAGACAACCCAGAAGGAAAGTGGCTGGGCAGAACAAAAGGATGCTGTGAGTTCTGTTTCTTCACTGTGTTCCTAAATGTTTTCACTGCATGACAGCAAATGTTAGCTAGCCCTGTGAAGGCTGAGTCATTGGCCACCAAAGTAAATAATTGCAAGTCACTCTTCTGTCCTCAGCAGCAGAGGAGGCTTAGAGCAGGGAGTTATTGCACAACATGGTGTAAACATCTGTAGGCACTAGAATAAGTTTGGTAAAATATGCTGGAATCTTCACTGACATACTGAGGGTTAGTTCCCTATCAGTCTTCAAATAGCATGAGAACTTGGTTCCCTGCAAGCAACAAGTATCACATTCTTTCATTTGTCTTTGTATTTAACATGAGTGTTCCTGAAACAGAATTAGAGAATACAAGGACCTGTTTTAAGTGCTTTTTCTTATTCCTATGGAAAGTTTCAAACTGATTCCTAGATTTTATTTTCTTTGAAGTCCAAGATGTTCCTTGAATTSCATATATATCATCAGTGGATTTTTGAGTATGATGAAGGGGTTAATGACCTGGCTCCTGGGTTATGAAAGGTTGATCCATAAAATCAATCAAAATTATTAAAAGCTCTTACCTAATTTTTAAGGGAACTAAAAAGGCAATAAAATTAGAGAGACTGTTCACACAGGTAGAACAGAGTTCTACAAGATTGTAGACAATACCAGCTGAGTAGTTTGTAGTGATTGATGTAAAAAGAAGTAGGGAATTGAGTGTGTCTCATACAAAGAGAATCCAAGAGAGCTGGGACTGTTCAGCCTGGTAGAAGGGAGACCAAGGAGTATCTTATAATTGTTCATAAATACTTGGTGGGAGGATGTGAAGAAGATGGAGCCAGGCCCCTTCCAGTGCTGCCCAGTGACAGTGCAAGAGGCAGCAGTCACATGCTGAAACACATGGAAATATGTCTGAACAGCAGGGAACCCTTTTTTTACTGTGAGTGTGACAAAGTAAGGGAACAGGTTGCTCAAAGAGCTGGTGGATTCTCCATCCATAGGGTACTTCAAAACCTAACAGACAATGTCCTGGCAAACTTGCTCTACTGGATCTTGTTGGATTAGAGGCATTGGCTTCAAGAGGCAAATTCCAATAACAGCTTTTCTGCGATACTTTAAAGTTGTGAAAGTAAATTAATTACATGGATCATTTTGTACATAGAAAACCAAACCTTGGTGAGGGCTGGAAGAAAGGTATTTTCTTGGACTGCATTTGCAAACCATTAACTAATTCAGTTTCCATGGATTAATTCTTGCCTCAGCAAAACTTGAAGCTGTACAAGGCTTCTCACTGAAAAGTGTCAATGTCAACAACACAGACCAATTGGTTTCACCAACCCTTCGGCTTTCCATGTTCACAAGCTAGTAATGGTGTGTGAAGAAGACCAAACAAAAGAAAGGAAAATCAATTCTTATCATTCCAGTTAGAGGAAAGAAAAATGTCTAATGTTTCAGAGGAAACACACTGAAAACTACATTCACTCAGAAGCAGGAGAGTGATGAATTCTTCATTGTCAAGGAAATGAGTATTTTTCACCTTGGAGAAATCAATTTGTGCACTCTTCTATACAGGCAGTACACCTGTCTAAAATTACTTGCAGAAGGGACAGAGTTCCTCATCTCTGAGCTGAGACCAACTGCTCTGATCAATGCAGCTACAGCATGTCTTCCAACCTGAAGAAAAATCAATGCTAATGGCTCTCTTAATGACCTGTTAGGAACTTTATGTCACGGACTGCCCTAAAACATGCCACAAGATGGCTGCAGTCCCAAAACCAGCTGAGAAAGGGAGTCTTTCTCAGCTCCTAGAGTCTGCATAGAAAATTCTTTTGCTGTAGCTGCGAAGCAAAAGAAAGTGAACTTAACATCAGCTGAGGAAGGCTTAAGTGGGGGGTTCTGAGACAGATCAGAGATTTGTATTTGTGCAGATACATGAGACCGTTTGGAATGAGACATTTCTTTGAAAGTTTTCTAAAGTCTTACAAAACAATTTAGTCACTGGTTCTGAACCTCTTGATAAAATTAATCCCTTTACTATGACCTTTAAATTGCATGCTTTCACTCATTTAGATGGATACATTAAAACAACCATGGTGGAGATTGATTATGATTCTTTAAAAAGAAAGCAGCAACCATCTGTCAGAGCTGATGTGAAACATACAGAGAGTGACCAAGAAACATATGATGATGTTGGAGAGCAGGACACCACTAGCAGGTATGTATATGGAATGCATTAAACGAAACAAACAATTAACTGGGTGAGCCTAATAGGGGAAGTTTCACAACAAACCCAACTCTCRTTACAAAACAGCCATTTATATGAGTACTGTGTAACTAGTATATGTAGCCATTCAAATTGATGTAGTTAAAGGAGTTTAAATAAATTCTGGAATCCAGCATCTCTAAGTGTTCATACTTAGGAGTAGCCCATAATACTCGAAGAGGACCTACTTCATTGAGGTCCCAAAGAGAAAAAAAAAGCAAAGCATACAGGATTACAAATCATCTGCAGGACATGCAGTTCTCTTCCCTCTCTCTCTCTCTTGCTCTGTCTTTTGGAGTCATGTGTRTGCTCCCTTTTCCAGCATGCAAGAATAAAAGACTCTAGAAGCAATGGAGACACTCCCGGCACCAGGGAAGTCCTGATCACCCTCATTGGTTTCATGAGCCTCACATGACTCTTTAACTCTTATTACTTGTTTCTTTTGGAGAGAAGGAACTTCTGGAATCACGTCTAGGATAGCTCTTCAGAGAAGAGTGTGGCTTGTAAGTTTAACCCTGAAAACAAGGCCACTCAAATTCCATTAGATGGGAATGAGCTATACTTTCTTTGATTTCATCAGAAGATTCTCCTCTGTGGCGCAGTCTCCTTGAATTTGTGGTGCAGTGGTATACTGCATATTCCCTACCTCAATGTGTCATCTTTTTGGTGTCAAATAGAACTGCAGCTAGAGAAGTGACATATGCAGCAACAGATCAGACTTGCTGGCAGGGAAATGACCTGGTGGTCTTGTCACAAGGGTCAAGGCTATTGCATAACCAAGCAGGACAGTGATACTTACATTGCCAGACCTCACATGAAAGTTTGCTTCTTACACGCTTCTTACATTCTTCTTGCATGCTTTTTACATGCTTCTTGCATGCTCCCTACATTCTCCATTAAATGATATGTAGAAACACAGAGCCTGGGATTCAGATAAGAGATCTGCATGGGGGTGTAAAGAATTTCAATACATAAGACAACCATCTTGAAGCATTCAGCCACTATACCTGCTTTTGCTGCTTCTTAKGAGGCTTAGCTTAGGGGTGTGTCTGGAATAAAAGGACTGCAGCTTGCTGGCTGTTGGAACATCCCCATGAGCTCCAGCAGCAGTACTTGGAAAAGGCTACCTCCCAGCTTGCATTTGTATACAGCCAATATAGTTTTGTGTCTGATATTTTTCTATTCGCTCAATGTCAGTTTTCCTCCCTGCACATTGGTCTCATAGCATCATGACCTAGCCAGAAGAGTTGTGTTAGTTGTTCTAGGTTTCAGGTAATCTTAACAATGGTTACGTCATTGCAGAGGTATCTTTGGCCAATCCTTTCACAACGGCATTACAATTAATCATCAGTGTAAGGAATTTAGAAAATCTATTGAATTCAGAAGCCAACAATTACACTTATACTGTTGCATGCTAAAATAACATTGTATTCCAAGGAACTTCAATGAATGACTGACTCAGATTCATTAAATCCTATAATCTGTATTTTGACATTTCTGTCTTCTCTAGTGATTAATAGTGTTCTGTTCAGTTCATGAGCAGGAACTGTTGGAAGGTCTGACATACATCAACATATTCTGAAATCACTGCAAGAATGTCATTCTAAAAAAAAGGCTCTTGACCAAATAATATTATCTCATTATCAGTAGCATTGAAATTATTCCAAAATTAATAAATGACTAGGGGTACTGTATTTCAGTATTTATTGGAGCAGAAGTTTAGCAGATATCTTGTTTTGATGTATCATTTTAAGTAAGGCTTTGATCTGGAAATAATCTCTGCTGCTATGAACCTCTCAGACCTTTAATTAACTACGTTTAGTACATTGGGGTAATATTGTTTCCTTCAAATGTTAGAAACATGCAGGTATACCCAGTGAAAGCTAATTGAGAAATAAATTAAATTGTTTGCCATTTCGTGTCAAGAAGATCCCCCCACAAGCAATGAATCTGAAGGGTCTGGATCCACTTTCTAGTGTTCAGTCAGATTGTATTTTTATTCCCATTAAGTTTGGCTACATGATCTCCTGAGATGCCTTCCAACACAAATTATCCCATGATCCAAGGGCATATTTTGCACATTAGTTTAAAGGTATCAACAGGAATATAAAATAAATTTTAAATATTCTTTTGCCAAGGCCAAAAGCTTAGAATTAATAATTGCAGACATGACGCATGATCCTGCTGTTTTCTTTTTCTAATTGATGACTGCTTTTTTGTGAAATGTCTTGTTTTCTTTTCCAGTCAAAGTGGTGACCAGAGCGGAAGTGGAAGTAAGTTCTACTTATATGTTTAGGGGTGTGTCGTTTCTGTATATTTCTTACCCTCACATTCAGACTTCTGCAGTTTCCACATAGTGCAGTAATTATCCATAAACATGTTAAATGTTAGCTAACAGGGAACAAAAAAGGAAGCATAGTGGCCAAGTTAACTTCCCTACTATGTACAGGAATTTGGGTGAAACAGAACCTTTGTTTTCAGATACTGTGGATCACCAGCCTACCAGATGATCAAATTTCAGCTTTTTTCTTGTGTGTGAAGGCAAATTGTCCCACAAAACAGCACAGGTGTAACTAGAAAAATATCAACATGAGCAAGAGGTTTTGTATAGGAGAAATCCAGCTCTGAAATAGCCAGTAGTACTGCCAATTAAATCTCATTTTGCTGACAGAGGTAAGGGGAACTTTAGTTGCAGCAGTGCACTGGAGCCTCAGCTGCAGCAGGTTCACTCTGTCAAGCTGACAGACTCAAACTCAGTTTCCCCTTTGTTGGTATATATATTTATGTAGCATTCTCTGCTAATCACAAGAGCACAGCTCATCTTCTCAGCTTCAAGATTAGATACTGCTCATGGCAGAAGCATCCCGTGGCAGTACCGAATGGAACTGCTGCCAGCTGAGTATATATTTCAATGGCTACTCTGATCAGTGCCTAGAATTGGACATGCAAACTGAGCTAACCCTGCCCTGAAGGAGGTGAGGCACGAAGGTCAAAACTGAGACCAAGATTGGGAATTTACATTGCTCCTGTCTCTGACTCCTTTGGGTGAAAAAACAATGTCATTTGCTGAGAGTGTTTGTCTGACATAGTCAATCATCACTTGACTCACACATGAAAATTTAAGTCATCATAATGTCTGGACGAAAATCAGCTATTTAGGATTTTATTGGCTTTATTGATGCTGTAGAAACATTTGTTTTCAGTATCCATACTCTTGTGATTGGTAGTGCCACATTTAAATTCTATGGATGACACTCTAAACAGGGATAAGTCTAAATCACTGTTTTAATAAAAAGGGTGTGCTGGTTTACAGAAAGATTCAATTTGCAAGGATGTTGCACAAACTGCACACACATCTGGTATGGTTAAGAGGCCTATAATGAATACCTTATTCATCAACACTAAGTATAATTGCATTAATTCACTGTTTGATCTGTTACAGATGTATTCTCATCTCCTCCTTCTGATCAAGACATTTATGATGAAGATGCCATATCTAGGTATGTTTTTATATATTTTAAATAATTTGCTTCTTTGGCAGAATGTTTTCAGTTTTTAGTATTTTTGAACCAAGCATAACCATTAGCAGATATTAGGATGATCAGAGAGTGGGTATCATTGAAGTGCATATGTGAAGTTTGAGAAAACTGTTCTTCAGTCTTTTGAAGACGTTTCGTCCTGTATTTTGATATGTCAGCAGAAGCAGTGGCAATCATGAAAATCTTCAAAACCTCAATAAGAGAGTCTGAAATTTAAAAAAAAAAAAAACTAAAATGCTAGGTTTCTGAGTAACAACATGAAAATATTAAGCCACTAGATTAATATCTATACTACAAATATATCTCAGTATTTACAAGTGGCCCAACATATTTATTTCTAGTTTAGCTTTTAACATTCAAGTAAGTGACCTCGCTTTGGGCATTAATGAAAACTATGTGCATCAATGGAGAATTTAAACTGGTCCTTTTAACAAGAACATTATATTTTACATTGTGATAATCACATGCATACTCCAAAGGTCTGTATCGCAGGATGAAGATAAGAATGGTATCTGGTCCTGGGGAATCTTGAAGAGGCTAAAGGTCAAAGATGACAAAAAGAAAAGTGTACGAGAAAAAACAGCCAAAGTCAATGAGGCAGAAGAAAATGAAAATTTGTTGTAAGAGTCTGCCAGGAAATCAAAGTGCACATTAACTAATTCAAATAAAGCATTGATCACATGCTACTAACATGTCCTCACAGCAGCCTAATGAATCATGCATCAAATCGCCTCTTAGGATGATACTTTTCTGCAAAAACACTGACCTTTCTTTTCACCTGCATAATTATTCTCCTAACAAGCTGTATTTGTTGCAAAAGTCTGGTAATTAAAATATGCCAAATTCTTTTCTTTGGAAAAAGTGCCAGAATAATCTATCATTTTTGTGCCACTCTGGTTATGCAAATTTACTGCATACAGTTAAAATTTATTTTCTCACCTGTGGGTGAGATGAACTGGTAGATATAAACCTATTAATCAAAATTTTAGGAATAACGTGCCAGAAACAAAAATACAAATTTTGTCTTCTACCCATCTTATCTAGCGATTAGATCATCATGTGATGTTTTTACCACCTTATTCATTTAGTCATTTAGTTCTGAACCAATTTATTTTAATTCAGTGGTAAAAATGCATTTATTCTCTAAGTATTGCTGGTGTCAGTGGCACTTCAAAATATCTGGAAATTACTTGGAACCCTTGTGTTCCAAGTTTTTTTTAATTATTTAGGTTACAAAAAAGCCCATTGATGTGATATAAATACTTAATGACTGTTTTTTCCCCTCCCCAGCATGTCATCTTCAACAAAGCAGTCTGGAAAAGGTAATTAATAGCCTATTGTTCAGTCTCCATATTGATTCCCAATTCTTTTTCTGTGTACATTGCTGTGTTACATGCTAGTCACAAAAATACATCCAGGGAAGGAAACAGGATTTCCTATTGCTTACCCAGTTACACTAAACAAATTTCAAATATTGTGACCGATCTGGCTCTGATGAGCAGATACATATACATTGCAAACTCCTTCTTAAACAATTTAATGTATTTAATGTGAATTTTCTACCTGAGATTTACCCTAGTCCATTTTATTTGACACTAAGTCAAAGAAGAGATACACCTGGGAAGAAACACTCAGTGATAGACCTCAAAAGTAAAGAGAAATCCTCTTTGCTATTTTTATGCCTTGCAGTGCCTCTGTAAAAGACCATGTAAGCATCAGCTCAACTGTGTAATAAAAAGCAAGTTCTTAGRATTTGTGAGAGTGCTTCCAGAACTGAGTTCTAAACTGAGTTCTAATTCTGCTGATTTTTCAAGCCATTTTTTTGATGAGTTGAACAATTGCTTCCCTTCTACAAATATGCTGAATGTGATTCACAAAATATACTTGGGCTAAGAATTCTCTTYGCTGCTTTGGCATTTCGAGATGACCTAAAAAATAACATACATATCATTCATATCCACTTCTAAGCAACATTGTATTGGCCAGGGTGCTATAGAAGTTATTGAATGTATTGAATATTAAAATTAAACTCAAAAAATATACTTTGGTTCAAAAGAGTGGAAAATGGATTAATTCAAATGAAACTGAAAGGCTATCTCATGTGCTTCAACTTCAGAAGATTAGAATTTCAGTGAATACCTGTTATTATTAATAGAATCTTAAACTGAAAAGACAGGTTGTGCAAAACACAGAGCCCACAGTTACTACAGATAGTAAATGGCTACAGTACTTGCCTTAATTTCTTGTCAATTTAGCTAAAATGCCATACATTGTTACACAATGTATTCCCCTCTCAATTTTCACATAGTAACATTTCATTCTGTTAAACAATTGTTTCAGATTATGGAGACAGTGTTTATGATGATGTGGATTCTTCAGACTTCTCGCCTCCACAACCYGGTCCCAGGCAAGTGAAAATATTACTTCCCTGAATAGAAACCTAACAAACTGAGAGATACTTTTAAAGTATATACTAGAGGCAGAGTGATACTAATATCTGCTTTATTTGATGTTGTCAGATTTTGTAGTTCTCATAAACCTACTGCTGATAATGGCAGTTGAATGCTCTTTCCTCCATTACAGATTGAAGTAACAATTAGACTATAGAATAAGTAGGCATGTTTTGCGTGCCAGCCAATTCAGTCTCTGATGGAAAAGAGGCAGAAAATAATGCAAGGCCTAAATTAATTTAATTGTAGATTGTAATTATTTTCCTATCAAAACTTGGGGACTGCTAAGGTAGATAGTTTATCTCAGCTGCTGCAGTACTTTAAGAGAAAAAGGACAATATACCTGTTTTGTAAGTGTGAAATATATTTGGAGATGTATGATTCAGCTTGAAAAACTTACATCTTGAGCCAGAAAATTGTGGTCCTCTGCACAGTATAGACATGCTATGAGCACAGATGTATCTGTGAGGAGGACTGTGATGTGTCTCATCCACTCAGGTAGAGTGACAAGTGCACTACAATAATGTAGTCTGGAGACATAAAAGCAAAGAGAGCTCTTTGGACTGAGTATCCAGAGGAAAATATGTGATCCTTCTAACTTAAATCGTTGGCGACACATACATACAATCGCCATCAATGAAACTGTCATCCTGCAGAGATCAGCAAGGATCAAAAAGTAGAGTCAGACTTTACATTCCCAGGTGCATCATCAGAAAGGGYAGTTAGGGTATGAAACCCTTCCATACTCTTTGGCAAAAGTCAGCACAATCAGGGATGTTGAAAAAAACACAGAACTTGAAATAGATTCAGGTAATGCAGATTCCCTGGTGTAGCAAGGTGATACTTGGGCATGTAGGACTAACACACATAAAGCTAAGATGTTCCAGCTCCCTCTACAGTGTGACATGTTATTCAGCTTGTTGCCCAAAGATACACAGTCTTCACAAAAACTTCTCCTTGCTGAGAGATTCTAAAGTGTTGTACCAGATAAATACTTAAAATTATTTTTTTATATTCATTTATGTGATAGATATATTAGTATCAGAGAAAAGTAGTAAAGACATCCCCAACTTCTTATTTAATTTGAAACAAAATCTGTATTATCACCATTAGTTTTTCAGAGCAACAAATACATGATAAAGACACATGAAGGCAATTGCATTTTTACCAAAAATATCAGAAAGTGTGCCAGTGCATCAGGTGTGTTCCTAATTTTGTTTTATCTGCAACCTCTTGGTTTAGCTCATCAAAATCAGCAAGCTTTGGAAAACGTAAGTCAGAAGAAAAAGATGTACAGAAGCTCAAGAAGATGGAAAAAGAAGAGAAAGAGTTCAGAAAGAAGTTCAGAGTAAGTTTTGTTCCAAGTGTTTTGTTCACATAAAATATAAAAACAAAGCATCTGTACGGAGACCTCTAATTTGTTCCCCACAACTTGCATTTGAAAGGTGAAGTATTACTACATGCAAAAATAGTGATCTGAGCCTCTCTTGGTCCAAATGGCAAGCATGGGCACATACTGTATAGCACATACAAATACTTGCTAATTTTAAGTAGTAATAAATAGGAATATATGAATGGGTAAACATGAATGGATTTTAACCATGGTTTGGGKTTTTTTTCTCCTTTTCAGTTTGACGGCGAAATAAAAGTTCTTTACTCTACAACCACAATTCAGGATTTCCCTCCAAAAAGATGGGGATATAAATACCTACAAATTAAAGGAGGGGAAACTCTTGACGTTATTGAAAGTACGGATGATACCAAGGTCCTTTGCAGGAATGAGGAAGGAAAATGTAAGTTGTATTAAAAAAACTGTAGTACATATCAATTTTTCTGAGAATGGTTGGGTGGGATATGTAAAACTTCTCTTCCCTGACATATTGAAGTAGAGCCCAGTACTTGTCTTTTACCTTGCCTGGKGATTGACAAGAAGCAGATTTTTATTATTATTGTGTTTTAAGAGTGGTTTGCCTTAAAAAAATCCAGAGCACTTCCAATAGAGAAGATATACTAAGTATGAGAAAAAAAGGACAATTTTGTTTTGTAATATTTTTCTTTCCAGCTAAGATCAGCACATGTTTGTGTTGGTTCTGGCTCCCCACCTTTACAAAAAGGAGAGTAGCTGTGATAGCCCACTGAGTTCAGTAAAAGTAAAATCCATGCTGCCCCTCTGGATAGTACCAGCCGATTGATTGCAGCTAAGAGAAAATCAATAACAACATTCTTACTTTGGATTGCAAGAAATGCGGTTTAATCTTTTCAACAGGCTGGGGGGAACACTGGTTAGAAGTCTTCTCCCCATCTCCCAGATAATCCAAGGCATATTTCCTTCCTGGCATGTCTGCTTGTTCTGGGAAAGGCATGAAGCCTTTCGGTGTTTCTTTGAAATCCTTGGCCAGGGTTTGGACTGGCAGAAATTTCTGAATTTTTGGACACCATCTCCTGATGGTTTCAATTACTTAATGAGCTTCTGTTACAATGCTTTCAAACCTCCTAGTGAAAATTCACTTTGTGCTGAACATCCATCAAAGTAGCAGCATCCTCCTGCTCACCTTTGCTTTTTACCTCTGATCTATGTAAAAGACAGTTCTATGCTATAAATGTCTGAAGGGGATTCAGCCACCTTCCTTTTATTTTTTCCTCCCAAACTCAACTGCTACAGTCTGGAGTACAGCCTTGTTCCTGGCAGGTCTGCAGGGTGAGGAAGAATTTCTTGCATAACGGCACATATGTTTTTCAAAATATGGATTGCACTAGAGCCACAAAAAAAAAAAAAAAAAAAAAAAAAAAAAAAAAAAAAAAAAAAAAAAAAAAAAAAACCACAGCTTTCAAAGCTGCATTTTTTGAATCAAGCTAATAACAAAGTAGAAAGTAGTTCATGTTGGCTGTTTTCCTCTCATTGTCTTCAAAGGCTTTCAAATAATGACAGTAGCTACTGCTTTGCTATGCATAAAAGAGCAAAATAAACAAAATTATTCTCCCTGAAAACTTCTGAATAGATCCCAGTCAATTTTCACATTAGTCAGTGAAGTTTGAATTCTACTTTAGTTGAGTGCATGACAGTTTTGTTTATTTGCTCTACTTTTTCGACTTCTTCAGATCTTAAAGTTATAATTTTACCTTCTGAAGGCCAGATATACTGAAAATCCACAATTAAAGATGGTTTTATTATTTTCTTGCACACAAATTCTTTGGTTTAATCATTAACATATTAACATTAACTTCCGTGGTTTAAAGCCTCTACCAAYGGTTAAATGAAGCTACAAATTATATTTCAATATGTTCTCACCTTTTTAAGCAAGGGCTGATAATCTTAGGAACATATTCTGCTATGGCTTATTTTAATTGATATGAATTATTTGAAATGTCAAAAATGAAACAAGGAACTGATTTTCATCTAGCCTCTCAAATTCCTTCTTGGTCTGAATGCACATGTTTTGAAATACACAGAAGCTTTCAATTCAGCTTCATCAATTTTGCTTTCTCTCTGGGAGGACTTCAGTCCCAAAAGTTAATGTTTTGACCTCTCTGAGGTTCCTTTACAGTGTCAATGAGCAGCTGGCACAATGTGTTACAGCTTTCAGTGATTCCTAAGTAATCAATGGGGTGTGCTGACCTGCTGGATTCTTTCCTATTTGGAAGCACCATAAAAACTAATAAATAAGTCAGAAACTGAAACTTTGGATTAGTAAATCTGAAAGAGTGTGAGATGAGCTGGGGCTGTATCACCCACATATTTAAGGGCTAGGAACCATCAGATAAACCCAGAAAATGCTTTGCAATGGTAGAAGCACTGTCACATACATGTGGCTTGCAAGCCCACTCTGTATGCCATGACTATGGGCAAGGAAACTTTGCTTTCATGTATTAAAACTATATGAAGAAAGAGAGAAGCTGAGACAAATTATTTTCAATTATTCCCTGGAGACTTCAAGAGTCATAGAAATTATTGGACTGATCTAAAGTGAATTTTGAAAAGACAACATGTTAAAAAAAAAAAAAAATCCATTGCTTTATCCCAGGTAATAAAATCTGGGAAATGCCACCGAGCTAAAACATCCTGAATAGACACTCCTGATGAATAAAAGAGGGAAACTTATATATAATTTCAAATACAACACAAGATCACACTTATTCTTTAGAACTGTCCTAATTTTGTCCCAGTTTACTAATGTTTACCTACAAACATATAATTATTGTTCTGGCTCTCACTTTCTTTGTATTCATTATATCAATTGACAAGTATTTACACAGATATCTTTCACCAAAGACAGGCAGTAGTTCTTTTAAAGAAATAATGTACATAAAAAAAGGATATGCGTAGTTTTCTCTGATTTCATTAGTAATGCAGCAGAGTAATAGAATAATTCACTAGTCAGTAGCTTCTCTAAAATATTTCCATTATTATTTTGATTATAGTTGTTATTAATGTTGCACTTAAAAATGTTAAACTGTTACAGCTAATGATACTTATTTGGTGTACACATCTTGAAATACATTTTTGTCCATGTAGAAAACTCTAAATCTTTCTGTTACTTCTTATTACTGTAAATATTATTATGTTATTAATTTTCTGTATTTTTGTGGTATAGTTTGTGAATTGTACTACATTTTTTTAATATATAAAGTTTTATTGTTTCACATTCCTCTCATGCAAACAGGAAACTAAAATAGAATATGAAAGCTAATGTTGCATAACCCCGACTACTATTTAAGTAGGCAAATAACAGAAGAATAACATTGCACACAGCAAATTTTTTGTCAACTATGTGTCCATTGTACATTGTTTTCCATCAGTTATGTCTTTCTGTCTGAAATATATAGAAGAGAAAACCTGCATTTCATAGTGCTAGCAACAGAGGAAATAACAAGTATTTGAATTAAACTTTAATACATATATATTTCACTTTTACAGATGGCTATGTTCTGAGAAGCAATTTAGCTCAGAAGTAAGTATAAAGTGGTCCTTCTGAAAAATTTATTGTAATGCTTCATTTTGTTCTAAAAGGTTCAGTAAAAAAAAGTTATACAATTATATTAGTATGTCATTCTAAACTTGAATGTTTAGTTATTTCTATGGAGTTACAATTTGTCAAAAAATAATCCATGCAGAAAATTTGCCAGAGCCTCATTCCTCATTTCTTAACCATAAACCATGAAAATTTACATAAGCATTATTGGTATTAGAGTCTTTACTGAACAGCAATTTAATGTGATTAGGTGTACTGATGCTTATTTCAAATGTTTAACTAAAATGGACTAAATTTTCTTTAGGATTATTTGTTTTTCAGTCTGAGTGGGAGAGAGATTTGGCTCAGTGTTGCTCCAAATAATTGTATGGAGCTCAACATTTCAGTTCTAATCCAAAAGTCCTGCCAGACAAAGCCTCTCCACGTCCTTTCTTTTTATATTAGACCCTTAAAAATCAAATCAGATGTCACTTTTAGAATTGTCACATTTAGAATGTAGAGGCATCTAAACACTTACACACAGGTTTGAACTATATATATCAACAGTCTTATTGTCTTCCATGGACTTGTCTGTGTAGCTAAGCAATATAATTGAAATTTCCTGTTCATGGAGCCTGTATCTTTTATAGACGTGACCTAAATTCATTACCTAAAAATTGCACCTCCAAAAATATTAAGGAACTGCCAAGTTCAGAAAAAAAATCATTTCAAGGGCATACTGATTGAGTTTTTAAATTCACTTTTTAGTGACCATTAAAAAAAGTATTTAATTTCTCTATGGAAATAACTCTATAAGAATATCTACTTAAAAATGTAATAAATAAAAGAGCCTTTTGATAAAGCAACTTACATGTTAGAAATGTATCCAGGTCTACCCTTCCCTGAAAAAGTTCGACCTGACATTGTTCTGTTACCACAAAAGTTGTATTTTCTTAATTAGCAAGGTAATTATTTGATAGCTTCCTACACCATACTGCTGCTGTATTTTGTATCTGCATGCAAATATTAATACATATCTGATATCTCAACCTTTAAATATATTGTCTTTTTTTATCTTACAGTGATGGAGAAATTTATGATGATATTGGTGACGGTATGTTGAACATTTCCAACAGTACATTATTAATATTCAATGACAATAAAGAATTTTGTCTTTGCATTGAAATGCTACACAATATTAATAGTTTTGGATTTTATTTCCATTTCAGGTTGCATCTATGATAACTACTCTGATGTTGAATTCTCTTGAAATAACAACCTCATTGAAGATCAAACTCTAGTTTGGACACCCACCAAGAGTCACTAAAGTTGGTTGCAAGTTAATTGGTTACACTCTTCAAAATGTACAAGAAACCTTTTTTTGGATTTCAGCCTTTTGTCCTCCAGTGCTTTGTACAAATTTGTATTGCCTATTACCTGAGCATTTAAAATTCTGGGGATGAGTGCTTAAGTTATAATTTTTAACTTCCTTTCCACATTTCTGACAGACCCTATAGAAGCACTCCTTGAATTATCAATTCCCAAAGAGACCAGTTCACTTCTGTGAAGGGTACTGGGGATAACAGATTTTACACTTTCGTGTATTTAACATCAAAACTGCTACTCTGGGTGGGGTAATACTCTGAAGAAGAAAAAAAGAAAAAAGCTTCCTTTGGTGATAGCATCTTGTTCTGAAAATAAGAAATCAAAATTGGGCATCAAAGAAGAAAATAAATCACTTACCTATCCTTTCAGCTGCAATAGTGTTAGCTACACTGACATATACAGCCATATTCCATTGTTCCAAAATGCTCTTCTTCTGTGTTGTACTAATGATAGAATATAATTCTCTAAAATTTATTTGAAGTCTACTTTAGAGAATAGAGCTCTACTTTATACTATAGTGTTGCTCAAAATATACTCAGAATAGTAGGTTAAGATTTAATTTCTGTTTAGTTTGAAAATAAGTTGTCACTATAGTAATAAGATATAAACTGATGATAAACTGGTTGGAAATTACTTCTAGACTAAATATATAGGTATATCCCCCTATTTCGATAATGCCCTTTTTTTTTCTAAGCACTGTAGTTTAACACTAGATTTGGCTAAGTAAGAGTTAAAAAAATCAAACATTTCCATGCTTATCCATTGTAGAAGCAGCATTTATTCCTAAAGTTCATTGTTGATGCTGTCGTCTGAATGACCAAACAGCAAGTAAAAGCCAAGTCAACAGGTGACTCATGATAATAAATAACACTTTACCCTTATATATCAGAAGTCACTGGAAATCAAAAGACATTTACAGTAAGCTCCCAATAAAGACAGTGAGCATCTGCAAAAAATGGAACATGTGTTGCTTTTGCTATAGTGCAAGTTAAGCAAAAACCTGTAACAACCAATGTGGCTGGATTAGTTTAAGCAGCTCCTTTCAATGATCAAGTCTCTTATAATCTTGAAGGAAAGGTATATTGTGCAACTTACCAAGCTCACTTTTATAAATATTAAAAAAGCTGGCTTTCTTAATTCAGTGAGTTTTGCTGTCACCTTCAGTGGAGCTGAGACTCCATCTTATACAAGTGTCTTTTACTGTTGTTTCAAAACACAGTAAATCTCAAAGGAGGCATAATGCAGTGGGGATATGAAACAAAATTAACCATACAGATAGTAGCCTATAAGCTATTTTGTACKGTATGTAAAATCACTGATATTACTGAAAAGCTATATACAAAATTCACTTTCTCTTTGCTATTCCTCTTACCTTGTTTCTCTTACCTCTTGCTATTTCTCTTATTTGCTATTCAACCAGCATCCAGGCCTACAAATACCAATTTTATGTGTAAACATCAGCAGCAGCACCCAAATATAAAACATGACCATGCATATTAAATAAAATGAATATGTCTGACTATTTGGCCGTGACACTGCTATTGGATTATTTGTTTTTCAGTGGCATTCAAGAGGCTGCCTTCATTAAATTAGTGATATGCCAAAGAACTGAATGGGCATGTAGACAACTACACAATTACATAGTTTTTGCATGTTCTTGTGTTAATATGTGTAGGCACTGCAATCCTGTATTGATAATACTGACTAAATTGGTCATATGATACTTTAAATCATTAAAAGAAATAAAATATACTTGTGGATAAAGTTCTTGTTCAAATCAAATATAATGTGATTGTGGGAGGTTGTTAAAATGAATTTTTAAGGTATTACTCATTGAAAAATACTGGCATTGGTTCCTTTTAGTTTTACAATGCCATTTGCTGGATGWTTTTTTTTAAATTTCTTCTGAATAAAAGTTTTTCTTCTCAATAAAGATTGTTTTCCTAATAAGAAGTGTGAGTACACTGTCTTCTGTCAAAGTAGAACAATAGTAGCTGAACAGTAACTTCTGAAAATTTTCACTGAGGAGCTAACAGAGTGAAAATCAACTTTATTACTGTTGCAAAGGCAGTACAAAAGCAACGTGGCATTTGTTAGTAATTGCTACCCAAAAAGTGAAATGTAAGCAGAAAATCTTCCAGACAGGAAAATCTATGTTTAGGCAGTCTATTCTAAAGGTTTCTCACCTGTAATTTATTCTAATATCTTTTAAAAACCATAAAGATCGAAGAGGAAAGCTGTTCACTTGATATTTTTCCAGCTCTGAATTTGGTCTATAATCCTGGAGTATTTGCCTGTGACTGCTAAAACAGTCAGCAGTGAAAACATCAAAATATTGACATAAAAATTAGGTTTCAGCATGAACATCCCAGTTAGGGTAAACAGAGCTGGTCTCCATCTGTGTTGTACCTCTATGCTGTCCCAGTAAACAGGCTAAGCAAAAGTAAAACTGGGAGGGCAAAAAGGACTTCTCTAATTCAATAGCTTTACAACATTTCTCTGCTGTTACCACAGGCTCCGGACTGAAGGAATGCAGCTGATCTCCTGCACATTCCTGTRTAAGAGGTTTATATTCTGGATCCACATAATTGCAGATCCCCTGGCTACTCCTCCCATGGTGGTAACAAAATATTCTTCTGTGAGTGATCCCTTTGCATAATCCATCTCAGCTGTAAAGATCAGTACTCTAGTAGGAGCAAGGAAATTTAGTGGAGGAATGTAGAGTCTCTGTGTGAGTTTGAGCACCCCTTGCCAGTACATTACCCTACAACACAGTGGCAAGAACACGTATGCATGTGTATGTGTGCATCTCTGTGTGAGTATACATTACACATGCCAAGACAACTTCTGACAAAACTAATGGATCAGTAAAAGTTATCTTCATGACTTCTGTACAGCAGCCCCACACCATCCTACGCAGAAAAGCTTTTGCATGTAGAAGAACTCAAATGCTAGGACACACACACACCATAACGTGCTTGTATTTGCACAGCCGCAGCTCTGACTCTTTGTGTGGATTCATTGCTCACTGTGTGTGCAGTCTGTAATTACACGATGGCTCAGTATTTTTTTCCACAGGATCCCTGCCTCATTTAGTGCTTGGGCTGGATGAGAATGAACAGAAAGGGCAGTTGTTCAGCTCTGTGCATTCAGTTTCTGGCCACGCCTTCATTTAGTGCAAATCTTCCCTAGCTTATGCTGCACACAGAATTATTAGTTTCTCATGGCATTAATCACAATGATATCTCACATTCCCTTGAATAGGAATGGATTTATCTTGTGAGACAGGAAAACCTTTTATCCCCATTTTAATGTATGAAAGGAAGGCACAAACAGAGAACAATTTGTGGCACGTATCCATTAATCCTGGATATAAAACCAAACCACTAAAGCTAAATTAAGTTTTTCTTGGTACTTTCCTAGATTAGGACTCTCACTACTTTATCTTCCCCTTCTTTGCCTCACTTATGGTTAAATACACAGGAAAGAGAGTGTTAAAAAAGTATTACCATGCAAAATTTATACTGTAAATATATTACAGAATCACAGAATCTCTAAATGCTTCTTGAACTCCAGCAGACTTGGTGCTGTGACTATTTCCCTGGGGAGCTTGTTCCAGTCTCATCTGATCTCTGGGTGAAGAACGTTTTTCTAAAATTTAAATTGCCCTTGACTCATCTTCAGGCCATTCCGTCAGGTCCTGTCACTGTCACCAGAGGGAAGAGATCAATGCCTGCCCCTCYTCTTCYCCTCCTGAGGAAGCTGTAACTGCAGTGAGGTCTCGCCTCAGTCTCCTCCAGGCTGAACAGACCAAGTGACCGCAGCCACTTCTTAACAGCTTCTTCTCCAGACCCTCCACTACCCTCATGGCCCCCCTTCGAATGTTCTCTATCAGTTTTATATCTTTTTTACATTGTGCCCCTAAAACTGCCCCCAGCACTCGAGGTGAGGCTGCCCCAGCCCAGAGCAGAGCGGGACAATCCSCTCCCTTGTCTGGCTGCCGATGCTGTGCCTGATCCCCCCAGGACAGGGTGGACCCTCCTGGTTACCAAGGCACTGCTGGATCCTATTCAACTTGCCATCAACCAGGACACCCTTCTTCAGTGCTGCTTTCCAGCATCTCATTCCACAGTTTTTCCATATATCCAGGGTTACCCTGTCTCAGGTTCAGAATCCTCTCTGCCTTCAAGAGTCAACTGTTCTGCTTTTGTGAACTTGCTCAGTATCCCTTCCAGTCCTGTGTCCAAGTTATTTATGAAGATGTTGAAGAGCACAGGGCTGAGGATGGAGCCCTGTGGAACCCCTTGTGACAGGTCCCCAGTCTGATGTCACTCCAGTCACTGTAACCCTTGTGCCTGATCCATGAGCCAATTGCTCACCCATCACAGGATGACTTTATCTAGCCGTGAGCTGGACATTTTTTCCAGGAGGACTCTGTGAGAGACAGTATGAAAAGATTTGCTGAAATCTGAAAAGATTACATCACCTCGCTTCCCTTGATCAGCTAGGTGGGTTACCTTGCCATAAACGGAAATCAGATTTGAGCCATATTTTCAGAAATAAAAAGGTGAGTAGATAGGGGACACTGATTAAAATTTAATGTAGGTAATAGGCTAGGGTATATTCTGAAACTTAAGAAGAAGTGCAGACTAACTGTAGAATTTAGAGGTCTACATTATTGCACTTTATGTTATTTGCTATCTCGCAGCTCCTGTGCTGACTGTCAGTTGTTGGTATGGTTTTGAGTGATGTATGTGGCTATTGCCAGAATTAAACCTTTACGTGTTTTTGGTCTGGGTACATTCAAGGCTGAGATATCCAAACGATTTCTGAAAGAGTCAACTTATTTATCAGAAGCAATTCACTCAGGGTAACAGCACAACCCTACAAGCACTCCACCTTGCCTGATTAGCCTGGCTGAAAAGTAAGGTGATTGTGAATCTGAAGAGTCATCCTAAGCAGTATCCAGAACCTCAGCCACTTGGAAAACATTTCAGTGCCACTCTGGTTCACCGTGGTACTGCAGACCACCTAATGTGTCGTAACCTTGTTAGCCCCTCAATACTCTGGGTGAAGCAAAATACAATAATCTCACAGTTCTCCTTCTCTGTTTCGTTCCAGCGAGGTGCCTCCTGAACATACATAGAATTTGGAAATMATTTCTATTTGCCTCCTTTGAAAGCATTTTGAGAGAAGAGATTAGGATGTTAATAAATGTGTGGAGTTTCTTCCTTGAGGCTTCTTACACTGTGGGCCTTGTTACAAAAAATATGGAAAGCGGTGTATCTTTTAATAC